CCATTCCTCCCCCTTTCCCCCCCCCCCACTCCCCCCCCTCCCTCCCCCCTTCTTTTCTGTCTGTTTTTTTGGGGTTTTTCTTAAGGCGTTTCAGAAGAGTTTTCCTTCTCAATCTGCATTAAATTTCAATTTTCAATTTCCATGGCGTGGCCACCCTGAAGACGGACGGGCGGTTGTAAAAATTTGAAATTATTTTCCACTACTCTGGAACTGAGCAATACAGAGAGAAGCACAACAAGTTTTGAATATTCTCCAGTAAAACACAATAATGTTTAGTATTTATCTCTGAGTTCTATAGCACATCCTCCTGAACCAAAAAGGCAGCAGCACTCTAGTATATATTTCTAAATATTACCACTCTTTCACACAGATATTTTCTATCTCAAATAGTATATTTTAAAGTCCAAAACATCATCTTAATTTTTTGATACCCATAATTTAATTTATTTTATAATCTAGTCACCTCAAAATGTACACATATTTTAATGTATATATTTTCATATTCCAGTGGTACACACACACATAAAGTGTATATATGTGTGTGTGCACATATATATATATACATACAGTATATACAAACTGTATATATATATATACAGTTTTTTCCCAGCAACTTCTCATAGTATGTCAAGGGTATATTCAATGCATCTAAAATCTAATTCAAAATCTATTATGTATTGTTTGCCTCTTGTTCACAATTATTAAAAAAGTATCCAAGAAATTACACAGGCCTGAATCTTAGGAGCTATTCATCTTTATCTTGGTTCTTGACCATTACAATTCAATGTCCTATATGTTTAACTTCGTAAACATAATGATATTTCATCATTACCATCATCTCTATTATTTACTTCTTCAGTATATCTTATGTGTACCACTACCAAAATCATCTCTAAATTCAGTTTTTTCCCCTGTGATGTATGCTTCAAACTGTACCTAGATTTTAATTAAAAATAAAAATTAAAAAAGTTGATTATTTTTTTCTGATTAAAAATTAAGGGGAAAAAGGGGGAGGGATTTGGAGGAACAAATAGGAAGGACACAGGGATGAGAACTAAGGGGGATGGAAATGGGAGGGAGGTGGGGAGCAAGGGGCGGGGGAGGCTGGGATGGGAAAAATAGACAAAAAACTGTACTTGAAAAATAACTAAATAAAATTAATTATAAAAAAAGAATAAAGTGAGAAAGAGAAACAAAAAAATTTACATAGTTTTATATCAGATCTTTTACAAGTGAATAAAATGAACAAAATGGTGCTAATGAAAAAGGGAATTTGGCTAAGTAATTTAAAAATTCATGAGGGAGCTTGAATTGAGATATACGAGTACCATCAAGCCCTAACCACTCCAAATCTTTGCTCTTTTTGTTGTTTTCTGAGGGCTTCATTCTTCTATTTACATGTGCAAGATGGCATTGGCAGCTCAAGCTTATATGTTCCTAAGCTTGAATCAAAAAATTCTCTTTCCAGGTGCTCAAAGGGCGGAGCAGTAATTCATATGATTGACTTTCCAGAGGTGTAATTTATGCCTCAGTCAAGAGAATGGAACCTGTTGAGCTCTGTAGACGGACTGGGGGATTTATAAGTGAAAACTGGAACTACAGTTAGTATTATGGAGAAAGGGTTCTGAGCAGCCAAAAATCAATAAATATCACAAAAATTCTTTTTAATATGATATATATGAACATCCATGCCTTAGCCCATGGTTTACACATCGTCCTCACTTCCATGCTCTGCCTATATCTAGCTTTCTTTTAGCCCCCACAGCACCACACTCTTTTCCCTCTACTTACTGGGCCCCCACTCAGTTTTTATTTTTCTTCTTGTCTTTTAGGTCTTAGCTTAAACATAGTTTCCTCAAAGAAACTGTCCCTGATTGTCTTAACTACGTCAAATAACTTTTATAGTTGCATTCATACCAGTCTACCCCTTTCTTACACAACATGTAGTACAATTTTAGATATGTTTTTACACATTAATATTCAGCTAATATATATGTATCATGCTCATACTCACCAGAAAAAATTAATTAGAGGGAGAAGCTCTGTCTATATAGTCATTCTAGTTGTCCAATGCTAACCACATTTGTTGGACACATTAACTGCATAATACATATTTTTTAAATGGATTCATGAATGGATGAGTGGTTACAAAATGTGATTTGAATCCATTTAACCTCATCTACCAAAGCTTTTATATTCTTTTAAGACTATCTTTAATAACAGCCAACGTATTCTTTTCAGGCTTAAGGCAAAGGAGTGCATAACTAAGTGATATGGAAGAGCCACTTAAGTTGCACTAAGTAATGTTCGCTGTCGTTTTCTTATTAGGTAAAACACCCTCATTTTCTGTCTGATTTTCTTGGAACAGGTTGAAAACAAGGAGAAGGAAGGAAAAACAAATCTTCTATATTTTAATATTTTATTTTAATATACAAGCAGTGAACATGCACAACATATGGTAGTTATTTAAGTATGTTAGATTCATTTTGGAATTATTTAAATAAAATTACTAAAAAGATGATTTATGTAACAAAAATTATTAACATGACTATGAAGAAAACTAAAAATCAGTCACTGATAGTAAAAAAAATGATTAGTAGCCCTTTTCTTATACATGGAATCTCCAAGCAGTTATTTTATTTTATTTATTTATTTTAAATTTATTGTTGTTCAGTTATAGTTGTCCCACTTTTTCCCCATTGCTCAGACTAGCTATATTTCAAGCATTCAGTAGCCAATGGGGCTGGCTGGTGGTTGCTACGTTGGGTAGCACAGCTCTACACGCTTTCCACCTTGCTTCAGTTTTTCCTTAAATTTCATCTTAAAGTATTTCTTCATGTCACAAAATATATTTTTTCAAATTTTATTGTTGTTCACAAACAGTTGTTTCCATTTCCCCCCTCCACTGACCTAACACCAGCCACCCCCACTTCCCACCCTTGATCCTACCCCATTTTAGTTTTGTCCATGATCCACTCATTTACTGATGGGCACCTAGGTTGCTTCCAGCACTTGGTTACTGTAAATTGTACTGCTATGAACACTGGGGTGCATAGGTTCTTTTGGGTTGGTGTTCCAGGGCTCTTGGTGTATAATCCAAGCAGTGAAGTTGCTGGATCGAAGGGCAATTCCATGTTTAATTTTTTGAGGAAATTCCATACTGTTTTTCACAATGACCGCACCCATGTGCATTCCCACCAACACATCCTGTGTGTTGGATTCCCTTAGGGTTCCCTCTTCTCCACATCCTCGCCAGCACTTGTTGTTTGTTGATTTATTAAAGATGGCAGTTATGATCAATGTTTAGTGGTTTCTCATTGTAGTTTTAACTTGCATCTCTCTGATGGCTAGTGATGCCAAGCATTTTTTCATGTATCTATGGGCCCTTGGTGTATCTTCCTTGGACAGTTGTCTGTTCAGGCTCTTTGCCCATTTTTTAATTGGATTGTTTGTGTTCCTGCTGCGGAGACATGTGAGTTCTTTATATGTCTTGGAGATCAAGCCCTTGTCTTAGTTATCACTGGCAAATGTGTTTTCCCATATGGTTGGTTCCCTTTCCATTTTGTCTTCTTTAGCGATGCAAAAAATTCTTAGCTTGGTATAATCCCATTCATTTTATTTTTCCTTTATATCTCTTGCCCTAGAGGATTTATCGGTGAAAATATTGCTGCATTCCCATGCAGCAATATTCAGGAAAATCTGAAATTTTCCTGCCTAGGTTTTCCTTTTATGGTATTATGACTTGTATTTATTTATCTTGAGTTAATTTTGTATATGGTATAAGTTGGTGGTTGAGTTTCATTGTTTGTATGTACTTGTCTAGAACTATTAACACCATTTATTGAATAGTCTGTTGTTGCTCCATTTTTCAAGCAGTTATTTAAAAAATTAACAATAATAAACAACCAACCAAATTCCTTAATTTTAGGTGCTCATCAAATTGTTTTTGATCCTAACTGAAACTAAGAAATACATTGGAAACTGACTTTAAAATATACATTTTGATCATTGTCAATTTAAAGAAACAATTAAAAGAAAAAAAGAAAGCATGGTTGGCTGAAATTTGATAAAGTAATTAAAACAGCATTGGAAGACTATTTCCACCCTCACACAGAGAATCAACATTTTGGTTGTTTTATATTTAAATATATATTAACAAATAAAATAGGGTGACTGTAGATGTAATGAGACAACTGATACATTCTTTAGTTGCTGAAATGTGATTATGTCTCTATTTGATGTTACTTTCATACCAAAAGTCATTATTTAAAGATATGAAAAATTTTTCATAGCACGTGATGTCAGCTCTCTGTCCAAATTCCCACAGCTCATCTGCAGCTTTAAGGTTTGAATCTTATGTACACCTACTGCTTCCCACATTAGCTAGTTTATCCTTTCTTCTTGAAAACTTTCTATGAAATGACTGGGATTTAAGGAGAGTTCTGTGGTGAAGATAGACTGATAATTTTATTTTGTTCATTACATGGTTTCAAAGATGTTTTTTGCTAACCTATTTGCTCAAAGAAATACAGCTTTCTGGTGAGGAAGATGATAAGTTGAGATACAAAACCTGAATTAGACTAGTGAGGTTGACATACTTGAAGGCAAGGATAAGAGGGGAGGGATGTTCTAAGAGTAGAGTAAGTTGAGGCCAGTAAGATTTATTAAAAAAACAGACATTATTAAGTATAAGTTATAATGCATAATAAATATCAAATCAAACACCATTTGGCATAACATTTGAAAAACAGAAAGCCTGCTTTAAAAAAGCATTAACTTGCATTTCATAGCCCTCTCTTAGCAGGATACCTGTTAGAGGCAAGAGAACAAGACTGGAGAGAGAAAAAACAAGCCAAGGGGCGCTCCTGATCCAGGTGAAAGTTTGCAGTTCAGCAGTTAGAATTGGGTTGCAAAGGGATTGAAGCCTTTGTAAGATGAGACACATCAGTAGTAATTGTGCATCGTTTTACCTCTGTGAGATATATTTCAGAATAAGAATGAAGACTTTACTTTCAGGGATCATTTCTGTAGTTCATTACTAGAGAAGATTCTCTGCATGTGTAGAGCACCCGAAACCACCATGAGGAGATGGAATGTTCTCTCCTGAGCATGAAGCTGGCTCTTGGTGTTGCTTTGGTAACTGCCATTTGCCATCAATGGTCATTCTTCTCTCTCCTTGGAGAGAGTAAGAGGGACAGAACACTGTCTGAGTGGGGAAAAAAAAGAATGACATCCCATCTTGGCTCAAGTCCTTAGGTTGCCAATGAGACAAATGTAAGTAGAAGAGTAGAAATATAATTTCATTGCAAGTTGCATTGTGATTGCTTGCCAAAATTTACATGTACATGGAAGATAAAGAAGACATTTCTTCTTTGCTTTCTTTTTTTTTTTTTTTTTTACTTTCTTTTTTTTTTTTTTTTTAAATTTTATTTAGTTATTTTTCAAGTACAGTTTTTTGTCTATTTTTCCCATCCCAGCCTCCCCTGCCCCTTGCTCCCCACCCCCCTCCCATTTCCTCCCCCCTTAGTTCTCGTCCCTGTGTCCTTCCTATTTGTTCCTCCAAATCCCTCCCCCTTTTTCCCCTTAACTTCCCTTCCTTCTCCCCTCTTGTCACTATCCCCTTGTTCTCTATTTCAGTGTCTTTGTTTTTTGGGGTTTTTTTTTCTGCTTACTTGTTTGTTTTGTTGTTTAGCTTCCTGTTAAAGGTGAGATCATATGGTATTTGTCTTTCAGCACCTGGCCTATTTCACTCAGCATAATGCTTTCCAGTTCCATCCATGTTGTTGCAAAGGGTAGTAGCTCCTTCTTTCTCTCTGCAGCATAGAATTCCATTGTGTATATGTACCACAATTTTTGGATCCATTCATTTACTGATGGGCACCTAGGTTGCTTCCAACTCTTGGCTATTATAAAATAAGAAAAAATGCTATACCTCAGAAGGACCAAGAAATTTTTCATACACTTACTCCTTTTAAGTGTATTGCATTTAAACTTATAACACTGTATTTTTATTTTAATTAAGCACAATACATAGTATTTATTAATTTGTTTATCTGGTCTTAAAATTTTAAGATATATCATAGAAGTATTATAAAATGGTAGCTGAGACTACCATTTGGTAAGTATTATAAAATGGTAAGCCAAGGGGGAAAAGAGAAAAGCAAATAGACTACACACAAAGAAATTTGGGAAAAATGGAATTATGCCTTAGTATCTCTATGTGCCATGAGTTCTAACTTTCTTCCATCCAGATCAAGAATTTTTTTCATTTAATGTGTTTTTCTTTTACTGCATGAGGTATTTGGCTTGTTTCTACGATTTGGCACTTACTTTTGATGACTAACACTGTTTTAGAGGAAGATTTGAAATCATTGCTGCAGTTTACCTCACAGAACCTTGAGTTTTATGAGGAATTTCTCCTTAACTGTGTTAAGTATTCTAAAATAATCTCACTAGGGGATGCAGAGTGTTTTATCCTCCAAATATTCAGTTCTGTCCCGTAAAAGAACATCCTCAAAATCGCCTCACCATTGTCAGACTATGTGACTGCCTTAGAATTAGAATTTGAAAGTCACTTTTATGAGACGCTTTGGTCCTCCCCTACTGAATCCATATCCAAAATAAGAAAACTCCCCTTTTAGGTCTACCACATATTAAGATTTCTAAAGAGCTATACAAAGAACTTGGTTCTGGGAGATACACAGATGCACTGTTAAATCTGCAGACTCGAAAGCATCATTCTCCAGAGCACACTGTCACAATGACATGAAGCAAACCTGTCCAAGGTCACACCTTTGTCATATAAAATAATGAAAATCATACTTACTCTTTCTTCCTCCAGATCCCAACATTCTACCGACATAGAGGCTGCCTTGAACTTATATAGTGTGTAAAGTTATTTTCTTTTTAAAAATTTGATTTATTTATCTTTAGCGGGGAAGGGGAGGAGAGAGGGAGAGAAATATCAATGTGTGGTTGCCTCCTGTGCACCCCCTGCTGGGAACTGGCCTGCAACCCAGGCATGTGCCCTAACTGGGAATTGAACGGTGGTTCTTTGGTTCGCAGGCCTGTGCTCAATCCACTGAGCACAACAGCCAGGGCAAAAGTTATTTTCAAGAGCAGCAAAAAACTAATGGGCTCACAACATCTTATTTGAAAACACTAAACACTGTGTCATCCTTTTAAAGATTAACATTGACCACTATTATATTAAAATCTAGCAGTTTCTGCCTGGAGATATTGCTTGTCACGTAACTGTCTCCAGGCAGAGATTTTTCCTTTTCCACATCCTCCAAACAATCAGGCCTGTTATTTAGGACCAGTGTCTTTCTCCTCCTCCATCTTGACCCTAGATCATCCTTCCTCCCCTTTCTAGAAAGATACAGATTGGGTTTTTATCAACATCATGCAAACCACCTCTTGTGGCTATTTTCTGAGTCATTCACAGATTATTGAGACAATTATTTTTTAAATTCAGCATCAGAAAGATGACTTTTTAAATACTCTGCCTTCAAGTTCCTTGTTCCAAAGATGCTTTTGTCTGTCTGACTTCAGCCACTTGTAGTTATTCTTTAGTCTTGGTTATTACTAATCACTACAACCATGCAACCTTTTGTTTGCAGTACAATGCTCCAACCAACCTATCACACCTGCCCAGGCCTCATCGGGCCTTTTTATAAATATACTAATTTTTGGATTTAGGGCCAACTCTAATCCAGTATGACTTCATCTTCATTGGATTGCAACTTCAAAGACCTGCTTCCAAATAAAGTGGTACCAAAGGTTATTATGTCAACCTGTTTTGGGGAACATAGTTCAACCAACAACAACGTGTTTTCTGAAGTCTTCTCAGTTTCTTCAAAAAGCACTGTGCCATTCTCTTTCCTGGTGGTCAGAGATGTGGTAAGTAAGTAACAGATATCTGAGAGTCTCTGCATTCGATAGTTAGAGGTTTAATTATTTCCATTCAAATCATGGTCTCAACTGCTAATGATGTCTTTTTAATTGAGAGACATCAATTGTTGATCTTTACAGAATAAACTTTTTACCTTTCACAGAGTGCTGGTACATTAGATGTCTAATTATTTCTAAGTCATCTTTTAACCTCTCTTCTCTATTTTAGCATACCTTTACTTGTAGAGGCTTATGAATTACAGGTCATGTAAGTCTAGGATTGTCTGACTGATGGCTAAGAATTTGACTTCCAGAGACTTAGCAAATCAGCAATTCAAATCTATGATATTTACTTCCAGTTTCACAAATTTGCTTCTTATTTTGTTCCTGTTTGGTCATCTTTTAGCATTTCTTTATCATTCTTTTTAGTGTTCAGGGGGAGCAAAATTATATGTATGTGTTCAGTCTGTCATCTTTATCTAGAAGCTACTTATTCTCTTTTTACTAGGTTTAGATCAAACCAGTGTAATTTTGTCATGCTTAAAAATATAAATTCTGCTTAGTGGATAATACATATTTTGAATGATAACTATCATATTGTGATACCAAATAGAGTGCTATTTAGAACATCAATATACACTAGCTCATTTGCTCTTCAGTTCAAATATTTTAAATAAATAAAATAAGTAATACCATTTTTCCTCCTAGAGAGCATAGGAGATTGAAATACAGTAAGGTTAAGTAACAGGATAATGGGGGTTTGTTAGGCACCGCAGTTTAAGGTAGTTCTCATAATTTCAAATACAGTATCTTTCCTTCCATATTGTGTAACTGAACTATTTTAATGTCATTTTCAGGAAACAATTCTAAATGAATGTGTTTTCTTTCATTGCATAAAAATGTTGTCTAAGAAAAAAATTTTACACACTATTCCCCAGCAACTAATTGTACACATTTTACCCATTACTTTTCTCTGTAGAAAAAAGTTCTGGCTGCAGAACATTAAGAACCTTCATGTACAAGATTTATTTTTCTTAATTAAATGTGTGCAGCTGCATATAATTTTATCCGGTAGAGAGTTCTGAAATAATGGCATAATGGCAGATATTAAAAACTATGTTTATGAATCTTAAAGTCTATCATAAAGGTGTTTGTTCTGAGTCCAATGATATGTTTACAAAGAAGCTAATTCAGTGGAATATAGAAAACCACTGAAAGCATCTTGCATTGTATTTCTATTATTCTTACAATTTCTTATATTATACCATATTGTACTATTGTCACCCAATGTAAGTGTTTGTGCATATGGGTGTATGTATGTGTGTGTGTTAAAATTCAATATTAATAATCTCTCATATTTTATGGATATTTTAATAAAAGTTTTTCTATGATATCTATCTACATCCTGTGAATCCAATTAACAGTTAGTCCCTTGTACAGCATGAAATTGAACAAGAAGGGTCTTATGTGAACGAATCACCTAACAATAGTTAGAAAGAGGTTAGACTTCAAATTCTTGCATAAACATGGCATGGAAGTTGGTAGGAAGTAGCATGAGGTATGTGTGGCACTTTGTCAATAATTTATAATACACCATACAGACAATAATCCAATGTTTTTTCAAAGAAGAAAAAAACTTTACATCAAATTTTTTAAGTCGAGTAAATCTAATTTTTAGGCCAAAATCGTGTGATAGTAGTTCAAGTATGGTATGTCGATAAGTATGTTCAATAACAGACCAAAACATTAACAATGTCCAGTAGAAAGTGCAACAGAAAAAAAGAGGCATTAAAACATTAAAATCAGTAATTAATCTAAAAATAATACTAAAAAATATGTTCTGGGCTTTCAGAGAAAGCATTATTTAAATATTTAGCTTAAAGACATACATAAAAACCTGAAAGTGAAAGGAAGCACTACGTTCACTAATTGCAATACTTTATAAAAGTATCATAGAATTGCATACTTGAAGCCTATATAATTTTATTAACCAATGTAACCTCGATTCAATTGTAAAAGTTTTATAAAAGTTTCATTTAAAAAATAATTTAAAGAAAATTTATAAACCAACAACATGATAAACTCAATAGAATAGAAGACATAGGAACAGATTTATGTTGGGAATTCTTAGAGAACAGGAGTGCTTTGAACTGGGGGGAAACAACCCATTCTTCAGTGGGGTTGTTTCCCCACTGAAACATCGATTTTCCATGCGGAACACAAGTGAAAGTAGATTCTTACTCATATTCGTTACAAAAATCAATTCTTTATGAATGGAAACAAAACATGTTAGAAACTTTTAAACAGTTGATGAAAATAGGA